CCCCAAAACCCCAAAACCCCAAAACCCCAAAACCCCGCATATAAAATGTTGCCATTACAGAGTTATTATCATAATAAATATTCAAATTATGCGCGTACGTAGCACCTAATTATATTTGTAATATTAATAATATAAAGATATGAGTAGATTTTTAAGGAAAAGGATTTATGATAATAAAGACCAAACTTTTGAAGAATGGATTGAGTCCTTGAAAGTCAAGAGTAATCATGAAAGTCAAGCTGACAGCAATTAACTGAATAATTAATCAAAAGTGATTGATAAAAAAGACAAATTAGCCCTTGAAATACAAAAAATTAGAGAAGAGCACCTCAAGGAGTTTTAGAATAAAGTTCTTAGTTTAGAGTTTTAGACTTAAAAGTAATGACTTGAAGATGAAAAGAAATAAAACTAAGATCAAAAATATATTTAGAATGATCTATTGCAATAGGAAAGATCTGATTATGTTCAATACATTTAAATAGACGACAACGTAAATAAAAGTGAAAATAAAGATGAATACATTCCAGAATTAAATTAAGTAATTGAAAAAAAATAAAATTAATCAAAGCAATTTTAATAATAGCAACCATAAAAATTGATACATAACCCTTGGATAGATGAAATAAACAGAATGGAGAAGCATAGAGTTGAGATTTTTCATTAGTAAAGACAGGAGAAGATACTAGAGAAAAGATTTTTAAAGTTTCAAAATTTAATTGATAGAAAATGCGGACCTGATCACTAGGTCACCAAATTTCCAAATTTCACTCCCAAAAATGAGCTGCCTTGGACTTTCAGTTATGCAGAAGCCGAGAAAAAGGTATTTAAAGCTAAGCCCTAATGGATTTGGGATGAGAAAGTGATAGGCAAAATATGTAGCTAAAAGTAAATATAAAAATACTTAGACCAAGTTAGATAAATGAATTTTTATTGTATGAGTTCAGAAGACGGAGGTAAACTCTATATTAACGAGGAGATTTACCTTTAGATTTTGATGAATTCAAAATATGATATTGGTAAAGCTATTTAAACATTAAAAAATGATTATCAATTTGATAACGAGCAAAATGAAATTATTTAAATCATCTCATAGTGAGGGGTTTTGGGGTTTTGGGGTTTTGGGG